GAACATGTTCGCTTCGAACAAGTATAAGTCAAACATGAAACCTGGGTCGAACGTTTTTTTTTTTTTTTTTTTTTTTTTTTTTTTTTTTTTTTTTTATCTACAGTGTTCAACTGTATAAGTCAAACATCGTAATGTTCGAGGCGATGGGATTTCGGTTCACGACCTGAACTTTCACTACGGGCATTGCGCTCAGTTTCCAATAATTTTCAATAATTGATCTCTAAGTATAACCTGAGCTAAATAGACTGGTTAGATGATGGAACTCAAGGCTCAATGAGTGAGAAAAAAAACGAAGGCAATCCTTAATGTCCAGCTGGCGGGGGTGATGGGGGTGAGGGGGGTGAAGGGGGGGAGTGGGGGGGGAGGGGGGGAGTGGGGAGAGAGGGGGGGTGTGGGAGGAGGTGGGGAGGGGGGGAGGGGGAGTTGGAAAGAAGAGGAAAGTTGGAGCTAAATCATGAGCTCCAGCTTTCAATCGGCACCCTTGCAAAAGTTTCCACTGCGAGGTTCGCGCCGGGCCGTGGCTCGAGACTAACCAGCCCAGTTCGACTTTCGACAAGCCCGCAAATGTCGAGCCTTGCCGGCTTGCCGGCCCGAACCCGATTCGGCCCAACCCGGGCCGACCGGCCAACATTAAAGGTCCGAGCAGGGTACAACCGCCTGCTTATTCCAAACGCAGAGGTCAGACGTAGGCAACACGTTGGTAGCTGGGGATGGATGATTCAACAATACATAGTGTTGACAATATTGAGTTTGGCAGTCACGATTAGTGCCAGAATCGCAATTTGCGAACTTAAGCTGGTAAAAACGAATGGGAATACGAACATTTTTCTCAAAATATTTTCTGAATGCTGTGTGGTTTCTCTTTTGAACGAATACTGACCCAAAACAGAATTCGAATACGATTCAAATACTGACCCAAAACCGAATACGAGTACGATCCGGATAATTAATATTGTACATGCAGTGTTGAACGGCTAATGCATGTTCGACACAGGGTGATACAATGAACTTTCGACACCACGACTCAATCACGCACCACGCACTTTCCCTAACCCCTCTCCAGCAACTATCTTGCTCGACTTTCGGGCACGGCTCTCACGAGGCCGCTTGTACACGGACTGCCAAAGATGGTAGCTACATCTTAATTCGCCTGTATCGTCGGCAATGCAAAAAAAAAGTTAAAGAGACATGTGGGGCTAATGGTAGAATACCGAATAGTAACCAATACCCCGAATATTCACGGTCATTTCGTATAGTATTGTTCCAGTGAAAAAAATCAAGTGTCAACTGTCAGAATATATTTGTGTAACTGCCTGTAGCTGTAGTTTTAGTAGCAATCATAAACTATTGGTGGTGCACCATTCTTGTTTCTTGACTATTTGTATTGTTCGCTCCATAGTGAATCCACTTCTTCTTGCAACAACTTCCTCGACTCCCCTTGGCCTAGGCTATTAAGCCTAGGCCCTCACTTAAACCTAGCCTCCACTAGTGCTACTATTGTGACATGGTATTCAGAGCAGGCACGTTCCTGCCGCCTTCCTTAGTTGGCCCACCAACTGCTTCCGCTGCCTGTCGTTCTGTCGAGCGCCTCGAGCGCGCGGCGTTTCCTTCTCGCCGTTCGCCCCGGGCGCGTGGCGGTTTCCTGCCCGCCGTGCGCCCTGGGCGCGCGGCGTTTTTCCTGCCCCGCGCGCGGCTTCAGTCGTCCGCTCGCACACCTGCCCCACGCCTGTACGCGAGCGAGACCCAGCCCGCCCACGCCCAGCACGTCGCGAGCGAGCGACGGCCCGCCCGTGCCCTGCCCTGCCGGCCTCGCGCGGGCCTCCCCTGCCCGTCGCGCTGCCCTGCAGGCCCCGCGCGGGCCTGGCCTGCACCATGGCGCCGCCCCTGCCCGTCACTGCCTCACCCGCGCCTGCCCTCGGAGCAGCCGCCCCTGCCTCACCTCGCGCCTGCCTTCGAGCAGCCGCCCCCGCGCCTGCACTCCGTGCAGCCGCCCCTGCCTCACCTCGCGCCTGCCCTCGAGCAGCCGCCCCCGCGCCTGCCTTCGGAGCAGCCGCCCCTGCCTCACCTCGCGCCTGCCCTCGAGCAGCCGCCCCCGCGCCTGCACTCCGTGCAGCCGCCCCTGCCTCACCTCGCGCCTGCCCTCGAGCAGCCGCCCCCGCGCCTGCCTTCGGAGCAGCCGCCCCTGCCTCACCCGCGCCTGCCCTCGGAGCAGCCGCCCCTGCCTCACCTCGCGCCTGCCCTCGAGCAGCCGCCCCCGCGCCTGCCCTCGGAGCAGCCGCCCCTGCCTCACCCGCGCCTGCCCTCGAGCAGCCGCCCCCGTGTGCCTGCCCTGCTCCGCGCTGTTGCCCTGCACGCGCGGCTGCCCTGCCCTGCTCCGCGCTGTTGCCCTGCACGCGCGGCTGCCCTGCCCTGCTCCGCGCTGTTGCCCTGCACGCGCGGCTGCCCTGCCCTGCTCCGCGCTGTTGCCCTGCACGCGCGGCTGCCCTGCCCTGCTCCGCGCTGTATGGAGGTGGCGGGTATGGGGGTGATGGGTGTGTGTGATCCCCTTCCCCTCCTCCTCCTTTCTCTCCCACTGCTGCAGCTGCTGCTGGGGGGGGGAGGGTGTGAGGGTGTGGGGGAGCTGGGGGAGAGGTGCTCGGGTTGTCGAGGAGTGTGGAGGGGGGATTTGGAGGACTGGGGGAGGTTCCAGGAAGCAGCCGCCTCGGAGCCAGCAGCTTCACCTGCCAGCAGCTTCTCCTCATATAGTCCCTCCTCCCCCCGACTGCCTCTCTAGTTCTGCCTCTTGCCTCTCTTTGCTGTTATTTGTGAACTTGTCACTGCTCTTGCCTACTGCCGCTTTACTCTGCTTGGTTTAGGGTTTAGGGCCTACGCGAAAAATTCAGTGAAAAATTGTTCCAGTGAAAAATTCAGGCATACGCGAACTGACGCATAGTATTGTTTCGCATCTCAAGTTCAGGCATACGCGAACTGACGCATAGTATTGTTCCAGTGAAAAAAATCAAGTGTCAACATGAGTGTCGAGCGTCAAAACATACGCATCAAAAAGCTTGGCGCGGAGAGCGTCAACTGCAAGTTCACACATATTTTTGTTGCAAACCCTTTGGCCATCATGAATAGCTGAGCAATCTATAGTTTACTCCAGCGCGTTCATCTGCCTCTGTAAGCACTCCCCGGTCCTCCTCAAATAACAAAGATAATTGTGCTTACAATTGAATAATTATTCTCTATTCCCTTTTAACCTCAGAGATCTTTCGAGGAACCAGCTTTCAGGCAGCATTCCTGCTAGTGTCAGTGCTCTCGCTCAGGTCATTCGCTTGTAAGTTGCATACAAGTAGGCAAGTGGTGTGGTACTACCGTACCGTGTATTATATCCAACATTAGTCCGCAATGTATGCTCATCATATCAGCCGGTCAGATTGGTGAGAACTACAATTCACTACACTCGGTTTTTGTTCACTCGTCCTGAGTAGTGCTAGCTAGATCTGTATGGATGTACGAAATGCCGGATCCGCGCGGCAAATTTCAGATTTACACGGACCTGCCGGTGAAATTGTTTGCTCATGTATACTTTTTAGGTGTGACTTGAAGACTCAAACAGTTTCGGCCCAGAGCGAACCAGTTCGGTTGACTACGTTTGGCTTTTCGACCCAGTTCGAGTTTGAGTTTTGCTCATGCCTACAATACCTACAATGTACCCTTTGGCCTGAGCACGAATGAAATTTGTGGCTCAGCCTGGGGCGTACTTATTCGTAACGGGCCGAGCTGGGGCCTTTAAATTTCCCTGCCAGCCTACATCGAATTGGCCTGGGTTCGCCATGGAGGAGATGGCGCATGTGCCAGCTGGTGATGCCGCAGGATTATCACGGTGCTGCCCTACCTAACCTGGTCGGCCCACCAAAACTGTCGTGTGCCTTCTGCCGTGGCTTCAGGACCACCTCTTTCTGCCCCGTTTCCTTCTGACATCCCAATTTTCAAAAGGATTGTCATTCCTTCGCCCGTTAAATTCTTCTCTATGTAGACAACTTAGCTTTAATCGGATCTGGGAAGCAAAGACACCTACACCTCGTTTTTGTGCCCCTGCTGACTTTTATTTTCCACGTTTTTTGCATTTGCCTCTCACTCCCATCATATCTTCACATTAACGTCAGTTATCTTTGTGAAAATCAGCTCACTGGCTCTATCCCTGCAGAGATTGGCTCAATGACGAAGTTGGTATTTCTGTAAGAATTGTTTACATCCTATTCACAAAATTTTATGTTCTGCCTTTTATCTACTTTGGAGCAACCAATCTCCCCTTCCAGGTTGCCCATTTTGTATGCATGTTTCTGTTGTGTTGGGTATGCTACCAGAGCAGTGTTCTGCACACGTGCCCTCTCTGTAAATTGTGTGTGAACATGCTGCACAGGTCCTTTCAGAGCAATCGTTTGAGTGGAAGGATTCCTGACTCTCTTGGGGAACTCTCCCAACTACGCTACCTGTAAGCTCAAGTGCGGCTGTAATTCTGGAAAAGCATGGTACCGTTTCCTTTGTTTTCCTTGAGGCTAGCATTCCCCTAACACCATGTTCTTTCTAGTGTCAATTCTCAAACTATGGCAATTATGGGGAATAATTTATTTTCGGTTTTTTTCTTCTCCACCCAAAGTTTCTTGGTTCTTGGTTCTTTGTCATATGGCATTGGCGTGAACCTCGTGTGTTATGTATTCTGCTCGAGACCCTTCCACCAGGCAGCAAGTGAATCTAGCAAGTGAATATAACGAGTGAAATTACAAGTGAATTCAGCAATTAAGTTTTGCAAGTGAATTGCGCAAGAGAATCTTGTCAGTGAATCTGTTGAATCTAGCAAGTAAATCCAGCACGTGAATTTAGTAGGTAAATATAGCGAGTGAATCTAGCATGTCTGCTCAGCCCTCCAATCACCTACCTAAACTGGTCTCCATCCCTCTTCATCCTCTCCTTCTATCATTCCGGTTGCTCCTCTAACATACTTTTGTCCAACCACCATGGCCATCAGGTCTCTCGCCTTCAACGAGCTGTATGGGAGCATACCAAGCACTCTCACACAGCTCACATACCTGTACGACCCACACACTACCTCAATCCGTTTCGCATGTGCTAACGTTCTCCCTCTTGTACGCACTCAACAAGTCGCGCCCTTGCGCTTTTAAAATATCCTCCACCTCGACATCCTTTGGATTGTCTCTCTTCACCTCCTACTTCCCCCATCTCACCCCACCGTTTCCTGATATGCCTCTTCTTCCTCTTCATCTTCTGCCGCCTCCTCGTCCACCTCCTCTTCCCCCTCTGCGCCACTTCTTATCTACTCCTCGTTCTCGTTTTCTGCCTTCAAGTATCCGTTCTCTTCTCCTCCCTCATCCATACACCCATGCCAATCAACAACCCCTCACACCTCCGCCCCTTGAACTCCGCTTTTCCAAGTCTGGGCGCATTGAGGTGACCCCCTTGCGTCCTTCTCCTGGCACCTGCCCCTCCCCTTGCAGCGACCTCTCCCACAACTACCTCACAGGACCTGCAGTGATGCCTCCTGATGCACGCACCCTGGATCTCTCCACCAACTTCCTTTCGGGCCCTCTGCCCCACGGGGCATGCCAGCCTCTCTCTTTTGATGCCAACTGCTTCACGCTGCCTCTTGGCTGTGCCTTGGTGCCGCAACGCCAGGAGGCAGCACGCAATGCGTTCTGTGGCGTCTCCTCTGCTGTTGGTGCTGCTGCTGCTGCTGCATGTGGAGGGCATGGGGTGTGCTATCCAGAAGGGGCTAGCTTGGCCCCCACATGTCTGTGCGACGCGGGATTTGTGCAATTTGGAGTGATCAGCTGTGCTGCTCAAGGTAGGGGACACCACTTGAAATTGATGAAACATGACCACAGACAGATTTACAGAATGGTGGGACGTCCAACTCACATGAAATCCAGTAGCTTGTAGATTGGAGATCTGTTCGACCTTAATTACCATCTCATTGTCAGAACTGGAGCTTGAATCGATTGATTAAGAAAGAACGCGCTAGGCCTTCAAGTACAAACAGAGTTGGGTTTGGGAAGGCTAGGGAATGGATCGGACTCTAACCATACATCCAATGATGAGTTGGCAGATTGGTTGGATTATGGGAGAATACCAGCCACATAAGGTTGGGATGACAAAACCTACACCCAACCTACAAATAACCTACACGATATAAAATATAGTACAAAGTGTTGACAGCATATTTCTAACAATCATGTCTCCGTATTGTTAGAGATGGACTTCCATCTCACGTTTTTTACTTGCACTTTTTACGTCCCAGTTTAGTGTAGTTGTTTTCGTGGTTGGGTGTTACTCCAATATCCCAACTCAACCCACCCCAAATGTGATGCGATCAAATGACATCTCCAACCCCACCAATTGAAGATTTCAGCTGTTCTCATTGGAAATTGCCCCCGATTTTCTGCCCATCTGCTCCAGCCAATTTTCTTATGTACTTACGATCCTTTATCATATCAATCAGTCAATTCCCGCTCAAACTTTCACATTTCCCTCTCCTGTCTGTCCGTTATGTTTGTGCAGACCAGAACAAGAATTACTCAAGCAGCCAGCCGGTTCTCCCGCCAGCATCTGTGCTCACCAAGGGGACACAGCGTGAGACGAGGGGAAACTTCACCGCTGCGCCGGTGACGCTGTTTGTGTACGAGGCAGGGCAGAAGGCGTTGGGGTGTGGGCTGGAGCTCGCCTTCCACGCCAACTTCACCTTCTCCATTGCGCCTCGATCTGGCCGTGTAGGCTTCAACGGCTTCGCCTTTGTCGTCTCGGCAACAGACCGGGTGGGGAGCGGCGCTGGTGTGGGGTACGGTGGAATGGACACGCGGAGCATGGCGGTGGAGTTTGACACTTTGCAGAACAAGGAGCATGGCGACATGAGCAGCCAGCATGTAGGGCTGAACATTCGAGGCAAGGAAAGGTCGTTAGTCTCTGTAAGGTCGCCCTTCCCTCTGAGCAACAGGAAGGCGTACACGGCGTGGGTGGACTATGAGCCGGGGGACCCCGGCACCATTCAGGTCTTCCTGGCTGACTCGCAGGAAAAGCCACAGCAGGCGGTGTTGGAGAGGAGGCTGGCGCTGTGTGAGGTGCTGCAGGGTGCAGCCGAGCAGCCCACCTTCTTCTTTGGCTTCGTGGCGTCCACCACTGTGAAGCCGTTTCAGCGGCACGTCATTCTTGAATCGACAGTGGATACAGGTTAGCAGTGTGTGCTGGCAGGGGGGTGAGCTTGGCATGGTGGTTAACAACACTGGGGGTGCGGTCTGGAGGTTGATGTTTGTGTTAGCCCTCAATCTCAACATTCGTACTTGAAAATTTTATATCCTAGCGTAGTGTAGTTTGCACTTTGTCTGGTTGGGTGTACACCCATATCCCAACCCAACCCAAATGTGATCACCTGCAATCTCCAACCCACGAATTGGAGATTGCAGCCGATTCCCTTGGGATTGCCCCTGATTCCCTCGTCATCCATTCCTAGCTCATTTCCAATGTTCTGAAAGAGTCTTGAGCTCATGACTAGTTCATCAGTTCAAGCTCAAGTTTTAACATTTGAAGGAGGTGGCAACCAGACCGTGTGAGTGGATGGTGATGTAAAGCATCGTGAAGGCGAGGTTAGTGCTGGTGAACATGAGGGTGGTGCTGGTGAACATGAGGGTAGTGCTGGTGAACATGAGGGTAGTGCTGGTGAACATGAGGGTAGTGCTGGTGAACATGAGGGTAGTGCTGGTGAACATGAGGGTAGTGCTGGTGAACATGAGGGTAGTGCTGGTGAACATGAGGGTAGTGCTGGTGAACATGAGGGTAGTGCTGGTGAACATGAGGGTAGTGATGGACGGTTTGTCAAATACATGAAATCTGAAAATGACTGTATATAAGAGTCACACAATTTCTGAATCTTACATGGCAACTTCTTTCTTTGCTCTAATTGCTTTGTCTTTTCCCAGGCCTTCCTGCTTCTCCCCGAACAGTCACACATAATCCAGGTGAGGAATCGTCTCCCATGCTTTTGTTGTGACCTCTAGTTGCAAATACCTCTGTCAATGTTGGATCTGACGCTCCAGCAATGGCACATCCAGCGTCTAGACGTTTGCGTCCGGACGCTGGACGCGAACATCCGGATGCTGGACGCGTTTTTTGCGCCGATCGCTGGACGTTGGGCCGATTTGTTTTTGGGCTGCCCCTAAACAAAAAAAAAAACTCACGAAATCGAAGGACGATTTCGACGCGATCTACTTCGCTGTCGAAATTGTCCCGCAGGCGTGCGCTTTTGGGGCTGCAAAAATGCAACACCACCAAATCACATGTCAACCGCATTGCATCTACACAACCCAACCAGATCGACATCCAACAGAGGTACAAAACTCTTGGAGGTCGTGAATTGCTGGTTCCTTAGTTACACGACCCTCTTTAACTTCCGAACCCTAGAGTCCGTCAAATTAGTCTTAGAGCCAGGGTAAAAAAAACGTCCGTATTATTGAAAAATTACCGTAAAAAACGGTACCGTAAAAAACGGCCGTAAGAAACGGTTTTAAACGGTTCCACGAGTTGTTTTTTGTTAGAAGAAAAAAACGGCGGATTTGTGAGACCAAGTTGATGGCGAAAGGTACCAGGATGAAGAGGACGAACCCCTCCTTGCATACGTGCGCTTGTGGGCATGATTGAAAATGTATTCGACCTTGTTTTTCCCATTTTTTTCTTGGTGACAACAGTTCTCTAACCAAAAAACGCCGTTTTTTTGGAAACGGACTGCTTTTTTACGAAAACTGTATTTTTTTACCTTGCTTAGAGCACATTTAAGGCATGACGACTTCCAATCACACGGATGTCGCTGGTAGTCCGGGCGGATTCTACCGTAGAAGCGAATTCCAGCAGCCCTAAGTACACCAATATCATGGACACTTTATTAATATAGGGGAAAAAAACATGTTTTGTGCTTGCTGTTGCCAAAACCCTCTTCCCTGGTTTTTTTAAGGCTGCCCGGGAAATTTCTTTACCCGTGCCCGGATAATCGTCCGGAGAACGTCCGACAGGTGGGTCTTTCCGGTCCAGCGTCCCGACGCACGCGTCCAAGACCCTGGACGCGTCAGATCAAACATAGACCTCTATTAGAAGGACAAAAGAGGCAAGCGTTGTGACTGACTGACTGTTATGATCATCTTATAATCTGTACAGATGTTTGCCCTCTCGTTTGTTTATCTCTACCCCTGTATCATTCACTCTCCTTCTTACCATGTTTTTACCTTTCTTTTGGAGGTTCTTCGTATCGAATACGCATGCATTCACTAGACTAGGTGCAAGTAGGAAGAATAACCTAGACAATGTGGACTGTGCATTCACAGCACAGTCCACCCAAATCTCAAGCATTCTAATCCTAATAAAACTGGAAAAAATAGAAGCTGAGCAACTATGTTTGCGGTATAGCGATTTAGGGAAGCGTTTTCTTTATGAGAAACCTGAACCGTACATGAGCAAGGTATCAATACAGGTACATCAGCACACTACAGAGTACTTCTTTGGTGGATGTGAAATGGCCACATGAGGTGCACATGTGATCAGATATGGGGTGCAGCCCAGCAATGAAAGAGCAATGCACCCCAGCCCATTGTACTCATTATCCCCCTTCAAGTCTCCCCAGTTACACCTTGTCCCATTCACATCCCATTCCTTTCTCTGTATTGCAACTCCCGAGCGCGTCACAGCCTATGGCCTGCAGCTATCAACGAACACATACATGCCAGAGTGGGCCAGCCCCTTCCCGCGATACGTGAGTGCGGACTACCGAGTGACGCCCTGCAAGCAGGACTCGTGGGTCATCAGTGACTTCCACTCCTGGGACTCCGTGCCCTTCCTCAGGTGGCCTGTCAAGGACCAGAAAGATTGCAGTGAGTGAAACCAGTGGGGAACCGGAGAAGCATGTTCGAGCCGATAGCTTGGCTGGTGTGTCTTGGCTGGTTGCTACAATCTGCATGTTTCCCTGTGCTATTCTTCTGCTGGTCACTTTCATGTTTCGACTTTCGCACAATACTCGGCTCAATACGTGTTCCCATCATTCATCAACCATCATTGAATCTACTTCATTTACTGATGAAACTGTTTAAATCTTACCCAGGTGCTTGTTGGGCATTTGCGCTGGTGGCGAGCGTGGAAGCCGCGTACGGCATTGCAATGAATGCAGAGGCGCCACAGCTGTCAGTGGAGTCACTCTTTGCAGCCATGGGGCTCACCTCCGAAGCTGACAAGTGCAACATGGGGGGCTCTCCTACTGAGGCGTTGGAAAGGCTTCTCATGCTGCCTCGCGGTGGGGTCACAGAGGCGGGATCGCCTGTGAGTAGTGTGGTGAAGTGAAAGACTAGAATGTATAGATTTTCATGACAGATTTGGGAACTTTGCGTGGGTTGCCTGATGTTGAGAGTGTTGCGACTATACTACAACTGGTGATATGAGGAGACGCTCTGAGTCGTTGAAACCACTGTCATCGGTTGCAACTTATAAATGAGTTGAACTAATGTCCTGCTAGCATACGAGTGCTCCTGAAGTCTGATACGCAATAATGGATTGGTCGGGTCAGGGCCAAGAGGGCCAAGTTACGGCACCAAGAGGCAAACAGCTAATACCAGGCATGATCAAGGGTCGGGCTAGGCCGGCTTGCTATGAGCCAGAAGGGGGCCGAGCCAACGTATATGGTTGCACAATATATATTCTAATCGCTTTGTGATGCACTCAACATTCCTTTTGCTTTGATTGACCGCTAGCATTTTCAGCAAGCGAGTTTTCATTTTCTATGGTGCACTCCTTTTATGTTTCTTTCTCTTCCTTCCTATCTCTTATGAATCCCCTCTGAAATATTCTTCTTCAGAAAAAGGAGTACCCTATTCACGGCTTTGAGCGCACGCGGTTCAAGGGGTTTGTCGGGCTCATGCTGGCAGTACGACGACAGCCAGTGGTGGTTCACATCGAGGCTTCTGCTCCGGAGTTTGTACACTATGACGGGGTGGGTGTTTCTTGCGTTGACCCTTCCTGCTGTACTGTACACAAGCTGTCAAGAGTTGTACACAAGTTGTTACCCGCATTGAGCTGTGTGCCTGACGTGGTTGCTTGTTGTTTGTCATTTGTTGTGGTGCCCCCTTTCTCTTCAGACCTTCAAGTACCAGGATCCTGGCTGCTATACCGGCAGACTCAACCACGTTGTACTCGTTATTGGCTACTTCGTCTGGAGAAACGACGGGAGCCAAAATCGCATTGCGCCTCCCTTTTGGATCATCCGTAACTCGTGGGGAGTGGAGTGGGGCGACAGGGGCCACATGCGCATGGACATCCAGGGAGGGGATGGCGTGTGTGGCATCAACGTGCTGCCTGGCATCTACCCCATTGTCAAGGGTGAGGCATCTACCTTACATGGGGCACCTTCTCCCATCGCTCTCTCCATATCTCCACCTCCCCCGTCCAGTACCTCACGGAGTCAACTATGTTTGGGCCAGGGCTAAATCTACAGAACAAGCATCCAATCATTCGTTAGTCTAAGAGATGGCGTCAAGTTTTGTCTATGAAATAAAGTCGGGTAGAGGCATTGTCAAAAGAGGGAAGAGAGTGTGAGCCAGTGCTCTCCAGAAAGTTTGTGAGGTGGTCAATTGCCAGTGCTTCCAGTGTCTTTTTCAAAGCTGCATGCGCACCTGTTTCTACTCCTCCTGTCCTCGTTTGCACCAACTTCCAGTCCCCAAGGACCCTTGCGGCCAGAGAAGCTTCAAGGGCGATGGTGACCTGCAGCCCAGCATGAACCCATGTGGGCGGTTCACATGCCGGGCAAACCTACGGAACAACAGCAACTCGTGTGACTGTTCCATTCCCAATGAAGATAAGCAACCATTTGTTCAAGTTGAAAACGGATATGGCTCCCAAACGTGTGCTTACTGTAAGTAGTAAACTTCACGGAATCAAATAATAATTTTCATCCATGATCATTGTCAGAACAATGGCCGTTTTGAGAACAATGGGCTTGTTCGATCGTTAGACATTCTTTCAACCAATCCCCTGTCTATATCTCTCAGGAGTTTCATCTCTCCTCTTCATCCATCCCCACACGCCTCCCATTGCTCGCGACCTGTGTGTCTCTCTCAACGGTGTGCTCCATATCTATGTTTGTGTCGCTTGGCAGTGGACGTGTGTGGGTCTGACTTGAAGAACCCGTGTTACGTGGGTGCATGCATCAACGATGGCAAGGGCTCCTACTCCTGCATCTGCCCTCCGAACTACATTGAAATCACAACCATTGACAGCTTCCCCACCTGCGATCCAGGTGCTGCTGCCTTGGCCCTGTTTGTAAGAGGGTCGCTACTTCTTTCATGAATCACATGTTGGGTTCATTACCACCCCTGCGAACTGCTTTCAATTCTTGTTTTGAACTTTCAATTCTTGTTCTGCACACACAGCTAGTATGTTTACTTTCATTGAAGCCTTTCTTATGAGGGCGTTGTCCTGCTTTCACATTCGCCCCTTTCCAGCCAACATCACAGCGAGCACCCTTGCCGTGAGTGGGAGCAACTGGTGGTGCTCCGATATCCTCCCTATTGTGGGCCTCTCACTTTCACAATTCACACAGCAGAATGTGGTAAGCAGTGCAGATGGAGAGGCAGGAAGAGTGGAGAGGCAGGCATGGCTAGTGGTATCGCATATTCTGAAGGATTAATCAAAGTTGTTGGTTATTCAGAAAATAATCCTATGCCCCATAGGTTCCTTAACTCCTCAATGAATCAAATAAAGTCGATAAGGAAAATAACAATATTTCTACACCTACACTTAACAGCTTAATCTTCCTACGTCCATTTACTTGCTGACCCATCATGCAAACAGTGTGCCATCCCCTGAACGGTTAACTGAAGAATTTTCGGTGCTCCTCATTGCAGGGCATTGACTGCAATCAAGCATTGCCTCGTAACATGGTGCTTCAGCTCGGAAGTCCTCTCCTCGTTCCCTGCACTGCGTTCTTGTACACCCTCAGTGTGAGAGTTAGCCCTCTTTTTCTTTTATGTTCGTTGTATGGAATGTCATCAAATCATTCCACTAGATTCTCCCACTCCGCTTTGCTTAGCTCCTCAAGGCTGTCGCCTAGTAAAGCTGCGTTCCATTCACCTCAGGCTCCTGTGACTTCTCTCCCGTTGTTCAACCCTTCAGGGCGATACATGCTGGTCCATCAGCGCGCAGCTGTTCCTCACCACCAGCAACCTCACGGCACTCAACCCCGGCCTCGACTGCTCTGAGCCCATCAAAGCAGGCCGCTCTCTGTGCATCGAGCGTAATGCCACCTTCGCCTTCACTGTTCCTCAGTGCCTGCGATACGGCGTGCTTACACCACAGGACACGTGTGAGCGCCTGCTGCTGCAGGTGGCGGGGAGTGAGGACGACCCAACGGGGGCTGGAAAGGTGAATGCCATGCGCTGGGCTGAGCTGTACCGCAACAATCCCGGCCTCATCTGCTCGAGTGTCATCCCGGTCTCTGCCTCTGCTGTTGGCAGCAACACTGGCGTGCAGGTGAGGGGTGCAGGGGAACCGGCTTATGGGTGCAAGAGATGGGAAGGATATGGAAGGATAAATGGTGGGTGGACCGAATGTACAGTATACTCGATGGGTGAGTGGGCAGGGAGTAATTTCTCATATGACAGAGAGTGTTTTTTCCAACAATATTTGCCCTTGATTGTCCGTTGAGTGCGTGCCTATGTCTTTCTCTCAATCCATGTTCCTTTCATTTGTTGTGCTTGTAAATGTCGCCATTTCAGATTTGTCTAAGAACAGAGTATTGGCCATTCGTTGTTGGCATATGCAAGAAGGGCAGGCAAAAACCTGTGTCACCGTCATTGACATGCTCGGGTGCTTACAGTTTTTACGGTGGAGCTGCAAATGGAGCAATTTCAAAATATTATATGTACAATGAGAAGAAGTGTGTTGGGAGTGTAGGGTCCAAGTTCATTTGTGTGCCATGATTAGGAACTCAGGTGGGTATGTTCATATGATACTGCATTCTTGTAAATCTGATGCATAATACCCGTATTCCCCCGATGTCAAATCCCTAATAAAATTAAGGGGGGAGGGAGAGGAGAGGGTGTGGGGGAGAGGGGGGGGGGGGGGCTGGGAAGGCGTGTTCTTTGTTGGGCTGAGAAAAGCCCTTAGGATCTTTGCAGGGCTAAAACTCCGGGTAGGAATGTTGTAGTTGCGGAAGCGTTTTGATAAGAAGTATTGGACCACCTTGCGCTGGTATGTGAGGGCAAAGTAGATTGATTAAAAACAAGGAGATACAAGGTTTTATAAGAGTACAAGGAACATGAAGAGATACAGCCAATAACTGTTTTATTGTTGCTGTTGCGGTTGGATACAGTTACGACTCGGGCAACTGCTCTGTATCGAGTCAGTTGTTTGTCCTTGCTGTCGCACTGTATTGTTAAGTCAAAGGTCGCTGACCTTTGACCTTCGCGTAACCTCCAGCGGTTACTTCAGTTGTCAACCTCCGATGGTTGACTCGCCGATGCTTCGTTTGTGCTTCGCTTCGTTTACGACTTGATGTTTCGACACAGCAGAAGCGCTTAAATCACTTGTTTCCAACACTCCCCTTCGCTTCTGGAGTGTCGCTGCTGGTGACGTAGCTCTGTCCAGTCAGCAGCATGCAGTACTCGAACTTCTGCTTTCCGAGTTTCTTGGTCAAGTAATCAGCTGCCATTTCGGACGTGGGGCAGTAGGACAGCTCGAGTCTCCCCTTCTCGATCTCGTCCTTCACGAAGAAATATCGCAGGGCGATGTGCTTCGTTCTGTTCGCGAATCCGTTCTTGTTGGCTATGCGGATTGCAGACTGGTTGTCGCAGAACAGGGAGAAGTTGGGTAACTGGGCCAGCTTCGCTTCTTCCAGCAGTTCGCGAAGGTATAGTCCTTCCTTGGTGGCTGAACAGAGTGCAATGTATTCTGCTTCAGCTGAGGAGAGAGCAATTAGTTCCTGCTTGCTCGACTGCCAAGAGATGGGCCCGATAGGCTCAAGTCGGTAGATGTAGCCGGTGCGCGAGCGCCTGTTGTCAGAGTCGCCGGCGTGATCAGCGTCGACGTAGCCCGTCGCGGACCCGCCCCTGGCGCCCGCGACGGCGCCCTGAGCCGCCGCGGACCCGCCCCTGGCGCCCGCGACGGTGCCCTGAGCCGCCGCGGACCCGCCCCTGGCGCCCACGACACTGCCCTGAGCCGCCGCGGACCCGCCCCTGGCGCCCGCGACGGTGCCCTGAGCCGCCGCGGACCCGCCCCTGGTGCCCGCGATGGTGCCCTGAGCCGCCGCGGACCCGCCCCTGGCGCGCGCGACGGTGCCCTGAGCCGCCGCGGACCCACCCCTGGAGCCCGCGACGGTGCCCTGAGCCGCCGCGGACCCGCCCCTGGCGCCCGCGACGGTGCCCTGAGCCGCTGCGGACCCGCCCCTGGCGCCCGCGACGGCGCCTCTACCTCACCCCGAGCCTGCACTCGCAGCAGCCGCCCCTGCCCTACCCGCGCCGACCCTCTGTAGCCGCTCTGCGGCTTTATCCCCGCCCCCCCCCCCCCTCCTCCTTCGTCTCCCTGCAGCCATGGGGGGGAGGGTATGGGGGTGGCGGGTGTGGGGGTGATGGGTGGTATGTTTCCCTTCCCCTCCTCCTCCTTTCGTTCCCACTGCTGCAGCTGCCGCTGGGGGGGAGGGTGTGAGGGTGTGGGGGAGCCAGGGGAGTGGCACTGGGGTGGTGGGTGTGAGACCAACCAGCCGCCGTCCCCCCACCTCTCCTCACTTCCCCCCCCCTCTGCTGCTCCTGCAGCAGTGCGGGGAGGGAGGGGGGGGGGGGTGGGAGGGTGAAGGGATGGAGGGGGTGACCAGCCAGCGCCAGCCCGCCTCCTCTCTCTCCCTGCCGCCCCTCCTGAAGTGGAGGGGGGGGGGGGGGGGGGAGGAGAGTAAAGGGGTGGCAGGAGTGCCTGCCCCTTTGCTGCTGTACCTGCTCTGTTGCCTTGCCTGCTGTTGCTGTTTTTTCTCTGTCTGTGGTGTACCCCTGCAGGGGGTGTTTCTGCACATGGTTATTTGCTGCAGGCAGTTAGGGGGTATGTCAAATACTATATATTTGTATTAACTGCCTGTAGCATATACTAGTGTAGTTATCTTTCCTGTTAGGTGGTGCACCTCTCTTTGTCTTGCTGTTTTCCTATTTGTACTGCTGGCTCTATAGTGAAACCCTCTTTTGTTGGCCAACTTTCTCCTCTCGCTACTCTCGTCAACCCCCTTCCTAGCACCTAGGGTTTCCATGCCTCCTAGGTTCTAGAACTATATTGACAGATTAACTTAGGTGTTGTAGTTCCGGTCTTGTGGTAGGTTAGGCCGATCGTCGGGGTGCTGACGAGGTAGTGAAGAGCGCGGTCGAGCTCCGCCATGCGTTCCGCTTCAGGTTTCTTGAGGTAGGTGGCGAGTTGACTTGCAGAGTATGATAGATCCGGACGACAGGTAACGGCTGCGAAGAGGAGGCATCCCAGCTTTCTCCGGTAGTCGCGTATGCCTGCGGGCTTGAGCGGAATGGAGCCTTCCTTGTGACTTCCGGTGGTGTAGCGGTATGGCGTGGAGATGGCGGTCGGGGTGAGTCCGAAGCGTTTGGCGATGGTGTCGGCGTATTTCGCGGCGTTGAGGTAGATTGCGCCTTCCTCTTCCTGAATGTTGAGGCCGAGGTATTGCGTGACTGTCGATGACACTGTGAGAGTAAGATCCTGCTGCAGCTCCCCTTCGAACCAGGTAGTGACGCCGTCGGTCGAGCCAATGTAGAGTAGGTCGGTGCCCTTTGTGAGTCGGTACATGCCCTGGTCGTGCGGTAGCTGGCGGAACCCGATGCGGATGAGTCTAGCGTGCAGGTACTGTTGCCACAGTCTCGCGGCCTGTTTAATGCTGTACAGGGACTTTAGCAGCTGACAGACTTGGTTAGGATCTCCGTTTGATCCATGTGGTAGTTCGACGAAGATTTCGGCGTCAACAGGTGCGTAGAGAAAGGCATTGGCGACGTCAATTTGCCGTAGTTTCTTCTTCATGGCGGCGATCGCGAGGAGAATTCGCAGCGAAGTATGTCGGCTGACCGGTGCGAACGTCTCGTTGAAATCGCGTCCGTGCTCTTGGTCGAAACCGCGTACGACCCAGCGCGCTTTAAACTTGTCGATGGTGCCGTCTGCCTTTGTTTTCACACGGAAAACCCATTTTCCGGTAAGTACCGTTTTGTTGCGTGCCACGCTGATGGGAACGACTTTCCAGGTGTTCCGTTCTTCCAGTGCTTTCAGCTCCCTGTCCATGGCTTCGCGCCATTTTTCCCTATGCTCCCCCCCCAGAGCCTGCTAAACTGTGGCAGGCTCCTTAGGAATCTCCGTGCCGTGAACCGCGGTGACGAGGCCAAGTATCTGCAGTCCGCTCTGTGTGTAGCGGGGAAGTGTTGTATCCTCGGGATAGACGGCTTCGTCTCCGGCTTCTGGGTCAGGTAAGAAGTTGGGTCCTATGCGTTCGGCTTCGTTGGTGTTGACTCGGGCGGGTGTAACGTAACCATTGTCGACGAAGTCGTAGAAAACTTCGGCGCTGATGCTCTCGCGAGGGTTGTCGTCATCCATTGGAATGTCCACCGAGCAATAGGGAAGAGGTCCGGCTTCTTCCGAAGCTCCGTCCATGGTCTGCTCGTCCAGGTCAGCTTCATCTTCTGCCGAAGCGAAGGCTCGGTCCTCACAAAATCCGCCTGTGACATCTCGTGAAGTGTCCAAGTTGTACAGGTACGTTGAAAGTGTAAGGCGTTCGTAGAAGATAACATCACGTGCTGCCACTGTTTCCTTTGTGTTGATGTCGAAAATCTTCCATGCGTTGTAGTGTTTTTCGATGCCCAGGTGTAGTCCCCACTGTGCGCGTTGGGAGAATCGGCCGGCGCGTGCAGCTGGGGGTCGGTACTGTACCATGCAGCCGAAATTTCGCAACATATTTGTGCTGCCCAGTTTTCCTGTCTACAGCAGATGCGGTGATGCGTTGTTCGGGAGCGATGATGACGAAAGCAAGTTGTGCAGCAGAACAGCATGGTCCATCGCCTCAGGCCACTGGTGGTTGGGTAGCCGCATGCCACGTAGCAGCTTGCGCATGGTGGGGTCCTGTTCATTCTGTTAGAAACTAAGAATGAATGAGAATGATGAACTAGAAAGGGAATGGGAGTACAAGTACCAAACCCTAGAGTAGTGTACCCCCTAGAAGGCTAACCCACTATAGCCTACACAACTATAACATATATATAATGTTTGACACACCCCCATAGGCTAAGTGGGGGAGAGCAAGGGGTCACAAGACCAGTCAAAGCAAGGCAAAGCAAAACAAGCTCAGGGTGGATCTCAAGGATACCACACAAATTCCGAGCACAAGCAAGCGGTCACAAGACCAGTTCACATGCAGTTTGATAATATAACAAGAGGTACAGTGATCACAACCTAGCAAGTGTAAGCATGCAGGAATATATATAGAGATCACAGTACAAGCAGAGTCAAGAAGTGAGCAAGTGAGGGACAGTAGGCACAAGGCCAAGAACAGTACAGAAACGCTGATGATCACAAGGCTGAAGCGCCTTGGTGAACACATCAGCAGTGTTGGCCCGAGTGGCCACGTACGCAAGACGAAGCTGACCACGCTGCTGCAGCTCTCGAGCAAGGAAGTAGCGCAAAGCGATGTGCTTCGTTCTGTGCTCCAGTCTGTGCTCCTGACACAAGGCAAGGGCGGCCTTGTTGTCGACGTACAGCACTGGAGG